TCCCAGTTTCCCCGCATCCTGCGCCGATAAACTCGCCTCCGCGTCGCGTTCCCCCGCGTTCGAGACCTCTCCCTTCACTGCCACTAGCGCACCGGTCGGTGTATGAGCGGATGTGATGGCATCGCGGCGTGATTCTTTACCGAAGGACGCCAAGACAGCGTGCGCCAAGCGTGCTCTCTGATTTGTCGCGGTGGCACTATAACGGATGGCCTCGTCGGATGCACTTTCAGCGAGCCAACCGCGATTGTCACGCTTTATGTTATCACGGCTGGAAGAGGAGTGCGCCGTGGCCTTGCGGTGATGTCGTCGGTGGCGCTGCTGCTTCTGCTGCTGCTGCTGCTGGCTTCCTCGTTGACTAGACTCGGCTCCGGGCAGTGCGGCGCAGAAATGGAGGGACAGGAGAAGTAGGAGAAGCACCAGGGAGCGTCCTCTGGTCATCGTTGCAAGGGAAAACGCGACCAACTGAATCCGCGGACGAAAAGTGAGTCTAGCCCATTAGACGGTCCTTCGTTCGGCAAGCGAGGAGGATAGCGGGACGAGAGGATCCAGTTTCATCCAATTTCTGCGAAAGGCTCTGTTGTGCCTTCATAACGCCCCTTCTTCTGACCTCTCTCTTGGGCTTGTGGAGTCGACAATGCCAATCCGAGAGAGCCTCTGCGTGTTCTGTTCTGAGCAAGCCGAGCCGCCTGTCGACATTGTGCGATTTGCTGGACATGCGGCTCGTGAAGCGAATCGTTCGAAAGGGTGTCAGCCAACTGTACTCGAAATAGACAAGGCAATTGTCTGGTTTCGGTGTTGGAAGCACTCACCATTTGACATTCCGCTTCCCAACAGGTTATTAGAATCACCAATCACGCTCTCTAGGGTCTATAATTTGGTCAATAGAAACATGAATACTGAATATATGTGCCGACCACTGATTCACCCACAACTTCCGGACTTAAGGCTGGCAATGCGAGCGAGCTCCCCATCAAAGTCTTGCGATATAGATGTGTCTAGCTCCTTGTCAATACGCTCTGCCATCCTATTTGCCTCTAGGCCGAGGCAATCCTCTTTGATAACCATAAGCTCTGCCAGCACTCGGCTCATGGAAGGCCGCGATGCCGTCGGCATCGCAGTGCAGCTGAGGGCAAGGCGAGCCAGACGCAAGATAATAGTATCCGATGCCTCCAAGTCTGGGTCCTTGAAGGCGGCCACGCTATTGGATGCAACAAGTGGAGCCACCCATGCCTTGAGGTTGACCTGGTCTGACTCCAAGTTACAGATGGCCTTGCGTGCTGTCAGCACAGTCAGCATCACCACTCCAAAGCTGCGGAGGAGTAATGGCATAAAGTGAGATGGTGTTGTCATGAGCTATGCCTGATAACAACAAGTGATATTTCATTTGAGATGCACTTTGAATGAAACCATTCATACCTGTGCACATCAGCCATGGGAGTGGCCTTTTGTGACTTGTAATAGGCGGGGTCCACATAGCCCGGAGTTCCCATCACTCGAGTGGCAGCCACCGATGTTCCCTCCCCATGCCTCACCAACCCAAAGTCAGCCACTTTGGCCTGCAATGCACTTGTAAAGACATGTAAAGGCGGAAAAGCAAGCTAGCAAAGAGCCTGACATAGCCTGTGCAGTTTTTAGATTGGTTTTGCACATGCTCCAAAAATGAAATACCTTCATTTTGTCATCGAGGAGGATGTTGGCAGGCTTGATGTCGCGATGCACCACCCCAAACTCATGCAGGTACTCCAGGCCACGAGCCGTGCCTATGAGAATATCCAGGCGCTGACGGATCGTGAGGGTCTGTTTTGCAGCTGCAGGGATGGAGAAAAAGCCGTGGATGAATCATCACAGTAGGATCACTCGCCAAGGTGTTAAACGGTGTAAAACAGTGAGAAAGGAAAGGAGAGGGGTAGAGAGAGAGAGAGGGGGAGCGAGAGTAAGAGAGAGAGAGAGAGAGAGAGAGAGAGAGAGAGAGAGAGAGAGAGAGAGAGAGAGAGAGAACTCACACGGACCAATCCAGTGTTCGAGGTCGCCATGGGGCATGAACTCGTAGATGACGATCTGCTCCATCCTCTCCGTCACAGGGCTGAAGTCCACGCAGTACCCCACCAGCCTCACCAGATTCGGGTGGTTCTTCGTCGCCATCTCCTTCACCTGCCACAAGTCCTCAGAGTCGAATGAGTGATCGCGTCAGTCAGCATATATGTAGAAAATAAACAGCAAAAGGATGGCACACTACCCAACCTTCAATCGTTCACATTCCTACCTCTTCCTATCTCGCTCCCCTCTCCATCTCATTCTCCCTCCCGCACCAATCCCACCTCGCGTTTGAAGTCGTTGGTGAGGACCTTGGCGCGCTTGACAGCCCAGATAAGCTGCGGGTTGTGGGGGCACTCGCCCTTGTACACATCCCCGAAGCTGCCTCCTCCAATGCGCCTGCTCTCCGCCCACTCACTCGTCACTTGCACCACCTCCGCCAGTGAGTACTGCGCACAGACCTGCTCATGCCCGCCGCTCCCCATTCCCTTCGCGCCCTTCCCCCCAGCAGCAGCACCTGGTGCTGCTGTTGACGCTGTCACTGCTGCAGCAGGTCGGGATTCAGGCTCATTGGGCTGAGAGAGTGGGCCTGTGGGTTTTGAGCGAGAAGCTGGCTGTTGATACGTTAGTGCTGCAGCAATCAGCGAGCGGTTTATCCTTGCCCTTGTTTTCCCTACGGAGGGAGGGTGGACCAGCACAGGGCATGGCGCATGGCGGAGCAGGTACTGGGACACACTCCCCATCACTGCTTTCTGGAAGGGGTGAGCACAACGGAAGAGGTTGAAGGAAAGAAAGAACACCATGTGAGTCTTGGCTTAAGTGCTGGTGAGAAACAGAGCTTGCCTTCTTGCCTACTTGCCTCCTCCATTCACCATTGCCGTTTCTGTGGTGAATTTTGCTTTGATCCTCATGCTGTTATTGTAAGTGCCGTGCTATTTTCTCCTCTCCCACTCATCACCGTGCTATTATCATGTCGATGGTGGTGGTGGAGAAAGTGAAGAGGGAGGTTCAGGAGAAATAAATTGAGGGAGTGGAAAAGATTGAGGGCGCAGGAAAGAGTGCAGAAGCAGTGTGAAAGATAGGAAGGAATATATGCGAAGGACTGACTAAATTGTTGCAGTTGGTGCTCGTTCAGTCCGGGGTGTGCATTTGATAGTGGCACTACCGCACACACAGCACACTTGGAGTAGATGCGATACATGGTTGCAGTGTGAAGTGTTGACCGTGTCTACTACAAGTGAAAAGAAGCGATGAGACTAAGGCACTATTATCAGGCCGACGCAGGAGCACAGTACAGGAAGCTACACAAGATACACTTTAGGTTGGAAGTGTGTCTTGCCTAAGAATATACGCCCTCATGCATACATCAGCACTGTCACAGCGTGACCGGACACACACACGCATGCACACATCTATCTGCAACTTACGGCGAGCTCAGCACACACCCAAAAAGATCCCAGCCAGCGTCGTACCGTGAGAACAGTCTTGCTCTGGCTTCCAACGATGACGAAGTCCACAGATTCGTTTCTGGCAAGACCGCACAGCACGTTGCATGGGTCTCCCTCGCCCAGCATCGACTCCACCTGAATGCCCGGGTGAGCCGCCTTCACCTCCGCCACCGCCTCGTCCAGCAATTTCCTTGCATTGGCGGCAATAACCGACACCGATCGTTGAACCTCGGTGCTGGAAGCGGGAGTGGACAACAGAGAATCTGGGGGAAAGACGTGGGTTGGAAAGTCAGCTGACGGTTGCATTGACGTAAGATTCGAGGGCAATTCTAGCATATTTCAAAGAAAAGTGGAGGAAACTCGTGCGTCACTTCAACGACTGTGAACAGTGTTGGCATTAAAGGTCGAACACGAAAACATGGGTGTGGACCTTCACTTCCGCCGCCGCATTCCTTAGTGGCTCGAACATGGCCCTCTCAAACCGTTGCCGAATGGCTTTGTACGCTGGGCGGGTAGTTTCAAGGACGATTTGCAGACGTAACAACGTTGGCAATGCGTCCATGACGGATTGCGCAAAAGATGCACACCTGGCTCCGGCCAGCGAAGACTACCGTCAAACTTGGGCCGGACGAACATGACCATCACGCGGTCCGTCTTCGCATCAAAGACATTCTTGGTTGAGTAGCTCAGGGCCTTCTTGCTTGCCTCGCTACCGTCCACTGCGATCAGAATCACTCGCATCCATGTCGAATTACTCGATTTCGTTGCCATCTCGGGATAATCGTGGGGATGATTTGATGACGCAACAACAAGAAGAAAGAAGACGAATTGCTTAGGATTGTTCAACCGTTGAAAGGCCGGAAAATACACGCTGAATATTGGTTCACGGTGATGCAGTCAGAAAAGCAAAAGGCCTAGGGTCGCCAAGATTAGGATTAGCTATCAAGCTGAGAGAATCAGGAAAGCGGAACTGAGGGGAAAGCACATATGACTGAGAGATGCAGAGCTAAAATGTGGCAGCCAGCGCAGGAAGGCGGGAAGAGGGCAAGGAAGGGGTGGGAGGGGGTTTGTGGTGGGTTGCTCTTGCCAACTGTGCGGAGAATATGCGGTGCCACGTAGCCAATGTGTGCGCGAAGAAGATTGGAGGCGAGATTGGACTTTTACCCGTTGACTCGACGGAACTTGTCAGACAGCTCCACACCGCACCGACTCTTCTTCAAGAACGTCTTCGCTAGGGCCACAAGAAGCTTTAAGAATTTTCACTCTAATAAAAACAAACCCACACTAAAGCTGTTTAGACTTGCTAGTACTCTGCAGGTGACAGAGTGGGCAGGGCATTGGTACATGATAATTCGTAACGCTATGTGCTGCGGAAAGTTATGGTACGGTCTTGAGCGTTTACCGCTCGAAATTATTGCGTAACCCAAAGATGGTGTTATGGTCTATCAAAACATTCTCCAATCACCACTAATAGTCTAATCTATATTAAACCTGGACAGCAAACACATGAACACGCGTTCACATCAAGCTTTGGGACTTAATGCTTGCAATACGGGCAAGCTCCCCATCAAAACTTTGCGATAAGGATGTGTCTAGCTCCTTGTCAATGCGCTCTGCCATCCTATTTGGCTCTGGGCCAAGGCAATCCTCCTTGATAACTGTCAGCTCTGCCAGCACCCGGCTCATGGATGGGCGGGACACAGTAGGCATTGCAGTGCAGCTGAGGGCAAGGCGAGCCAGACGCAAGATAATAGTATCCGATGCCTCCAAGTCCGGGTCCTTGAAGGCGGCCACGTTATTGGATGCAACAAGTGGAGCCACCCACGCCTTGAGGTTGACCTGGTCTGACTCCAAGTTGCAGATGGCCTTGCGTGCTGTGAGCACAGTCAGCATCACCACTCCAAAGCTGTGGGGTACAAATAGCATCAGTTGGAGTTGTCGCTCAATGAACGACAGTAACCAAGGATTTTCTCAAGATGCACTTTGAATGACACCATCCATACCTGTGCACATCAGCCATGGGAGTGGCCTTCTGTGACTTGTAGTAGGCCGGGTCTACATAGCCGGGTGTCCCCATCACCCGAGTAGCAGCCACAGATGTGCCCTCCCCATGCCTCACCAACCCAAAGTCAGCCACTTTGGCCTGCAATGCACATGTGAAGACATTAGACGGAAAAAAATAAAACTGCCAAAGAGCTTAACTTAGCTTGTGCATTATTCAGATTGGTTTTGCATGTAGGTACGCCCGAATCAAATACCTTCATTTTGTCATCGAGGAGGATATTGGCAGGCTTGATGTCGCGATGCACCACCCCAAACTCATGCAGATACTCCAGGCCACGAGCCGTGCCTATGAGGATATCCAGGCGCTGCCGGATTGTGAGTGTCTGTTTTGCGGCTGCGGGGATGGAGAACCAGCCACGGAAAAAAAAGATCAGGGTGAGGTTGCTAGCTGAGGTGTTCAGCAACGTAAAACGGTGAGAGCGAAAGAGAGAAACATACCATATATAGGCCTATACATGGATGGAGGGAGAGGGAGAAAGGGAAGGAGAAAAGGATAGAAAGAGAGAAACGGGGAGAACGCACAAGGGCCAATCCAGTGCTCAAGGTCGCCATGGGGCATGAACTCGTAGATGACGATCTGCTCCATCCTCTCCGTCACAGGGCTGAAGTCCACGCAGTACCCCACCAGCCTCACCAGATTCGGATGGTTCTTCGTCGCCATCTCCTTCACCTGCCACAACTCCTCAAACAGCAAGTCAGGCAGGAAAACTACCAAATGGAAAACAGCATAAGTACGCCACACTACCTTCCCCCATTCCTCTCTCCTTCCCGCACCCAGCCCACCTCGCGTTTGAAGTCGTTGGTGAGGACCTTGGCTCGCTTGACAGCCCACACAAGGCGGGGGTTGTGGGGGCACTCGCCCTTGTACACATCCCCGAAGCTGCCTCCCCCAATGCGCCTGCTCTCCGCCCACTCACTCGTCGCCTGCACCACCTCCGCCAGTGAGTACTGCGCACAGACCTGCGCCTGCCCGCTGCCCCCCATTTCCATTGCTCCTTTCCCCATAGCAGTAGCACCTGCGGCTGCTGACACTACCGCTGCTGCAGCAGATCGGGAGACAGGCTGATTGGGTTGAGATTGTGCGCCTGTGGATTTGGAGCGTGGGGCTGAGTCTCGATACGTTGATGCCGCGACGATGAGAGAGGTACTTTTCCTTGCCCTTGATGTCCCTACGGAGGGAGGGTGCACCAGCACAGGGCAAGGCGCATGGCGGAGCAGGTACCGGGACACACTCCCCATTATTGATTTCTGGAAGGTGAGTACAGGCGGATGGGATGGAAGGAAAAGAAGAGCAGAATGTGAGTCTTGGTTTGGATGTGTGTTAGCAACAGACCTTGGTTTCTTGTCGCCTCCATCCCCCATTGCCGTTTCTGTGTTGGCCTTAAACACAAACCTCTTGCCTCTTATGATGAGTTCCATGCAAGTTACTCTCTCAATCTTTCCAAGAATATTTTGATGGTGATGGTGGAGAGAAGGAAAGAGGAGCTTCGGGAGGAAGGATGGAGCGAGGGAAAAAGAGTGAGGGTAGGAAGAGAGTGCACGAAAAATGTGAGAGATGGGAAGGAATGAAGAGGATCAACTCTAGTGAGTGCTTGTTTAGTCCAGACGGTGCATTTGAGTCTGAGCGGCGTCACGGAGTGGCAGGTTCAGTGTCAAGCATTGACCGCGTCTACTAGTGAAGTGCAATGGCGAGAATATTGCACTTTTATCAGCCAGAAGCAGCAGCACTGTTATATCAGAACAGAAAGTTGTACGCGATTCACGTCTTCACACTTACAACCACACAAGCACGCATATCTCTTGCATGCATCTCTTTTACTTTGTGGCCACACACTCACCCCCGCACACGAACCCACGCATCTGATTGCATCTTAGGAGCTGAGCAAGCGCGGTTGTCTCACCGTGAGAGCGGTCTTGCCCTGGCTTCCCACGATGATGAAGTCCACAAAGTCCTCAGTGGCGCGGTTGCACAGCACGTCTCGCGGGTCTCCCTCGCCCAGCATCGTCTCCACCTGAATGCCCGGGCGAGCCGCCTTCACCTCCGCCGACGCCTCGTCCAGCAGCCTCTGTGCGTCGGATGCGATGGTCGTCTCTGATCGTTGCAGGTTGGCGCTGGAAGCTGCACGGGGTTACGAAGGGAAGGGATGCAAAAGAAGAATTCAATGATGTGCACACCTGATTCTGTTGTTGGTCAATGATGTTCAGTAACACCTGCAATTTTCGTGCAAATACGCTTTCTGAAAGCGAGGATGGGATTCATGCCATATGGATAAACCACACAGGACTTGTCTGCAAAACTGAAGGACACATTTCAGCGAAGATTACCGTCAAATTTGGGCCGGACGAACATGATGATGACGTAGTCTGTCTTCGCATCAAATACATTTGTTATTGAATAGCTCAAGGCCTTCATGCTCGCTTCACTACCGTCCACTGCGATCATAATCACGCGCATCCATGTCGAGCGACTCGTCTTCGTTGCCATCTTGGGAAAGTGGCGGGGATGAATGCCATGGTGAAGTGAAGACTGGGATAGTAACGATGACGCCGCGCGTTTGACAAATATCATACTCATCTTCTATAAATCCGCTTATGATTCTGCTTCAAGTGTTTGCAACGCAGTTGCACTAGGAAGCACATGCACGTTGCATACTGGTTCACGCTATGGAGATGCAGTCAGAAAGGCAAAAGGCATGAGGTAATTTGGATGAGGTAGGAAGCTAAAATAGTAAATCAAGAAATCTCATCTGGTGGAATAGCGCTGCGAATGTGGCTGGCAGGACGGGAGAGGGGTGGGTGGGGCATGGTTTGGGGAGAGCTTCGTATGCTGCTTGGAGAATACACGTCCCCATCTACGTGGCCATGTGTGCGTCTGGTGCAATCCAGCTTGTATGGTTACAGCTCATTCCTCGTGGCTCTGGACGGTTTCACACGGTGGAAAGCGTTGGCTGTGAAGTTACCGTTTTGCACCGTGACACAACGAAACAAACCGCTAAGAACATACAAACTTTGTACTATGAGCTGGACTGTTAGTTTGGAGGGCTGGACTGGATGTGAGATTGGACTGCTGTTGACTCAACGGAACTGGTCAGACAGCTCCAGAAGACCGCAAAGATTTTCCCTTTGAGAACGTCTTCGCTATCGTTCAAACCAGCCTTGTCAAGAACGTCCACCGAGACATTATTCAACCTCATAGAATGTTGAACAACCTTCTGGACAACCTCACCCTACCCTGCTGGAACAACAGCCAGGCGGCAAAACATACATAAGCGTAGGCATTCTAGATTTGAATAGTTACACAAACCTCACACGTAAAAATGACGATTATGATAATATATAAATAACATCATCCGAAGCATTCCACATACGGTACCATTAAAAAAACATCCAATCCCATACTCAAATACATGCCCCCCCCCCCACCCCCCCCCCCCCCCCCCCCCCCCCCCCCCCCCCCCCCATCTTTCTCCTCCAAGGAGAACCTCAAAGGATGTTACCTCCCTCCATCCCATCCCTCAGCATACTCTTCTCCACCACCTTGTTACCTCCAGTGCTACTCCCCGGCATGCACAATGCTTCCCTACCCTCCCCTCTTATCCCCAGCCACACAGCATGGCATCAGCCTTAGCAGCCTGCCTCCTCTCCTCACACACCATGCATCCCTCGCAAATCTCCTTCGCCGCCCGCATCTCCTTCAAGCATCGCTGCAGCCCGCGGTGCTGCTGCCACAGGTCGTCTAATAACGAGGACAAATGCGACACAGTCTGCCTCTTCTGCAGTGCCATATCCGCCATGTCCCCCCTCAGCCGCTCGTTCTCCGAGAGAATAGCATCAAGCGCTGGAGAGGAGGCCGATGCAGAGTGACTGGGGTGGAGAGCAGAGGTTAAGGAGATTGCACGAGGAGGAAGAGGCGGGGGGTGGGAGGGAGCGAGAGGAGAGGCGGAGGGGGTTGCAGAAGGGGTGGTGGTGGTGGCGGTGGTGGTGAGAGAAGAGGAGCCGGAAGTGATTCTAGCAGAGGAGATAGCGGGTGTGCTCACACTCTCCATAGTCACAGTTGCACTGCTGTTGGCACGGCTAGAGTTGCTGCTGCTGCTGGCAGCAGTGTTGGCAGTGACGGTAGTGCTGCTTTCACTAGTCAACGCGGCCGTCGCCTTGACAGCAACCTGGGCCTTAGTAGACTCACCGACAGCATCAGCAGCAGTGGCAACAACAGCAGCAGCACCAGCAGCACTGGCCGCACTGCCACCACCATCAATACTGCCAGCATCACTACCTCCGCCAACGCCCCCCCTAGTGTGACTGGACGGCGACAGTATCGCCGCATGGTTACCACTTCCAGTGGCCTCACGAGCTGCTTCAAGGGACATCCGCAGCTGAGTGGCTGCACGAGCAGCAGCCGTCCACAGATCCGTTACAGTGGCAGGTCCACCTGGCAGGCCCTGATTCGCTGCAGGCCATGCTGCACCAGCTTGACCGGCAGCGTTCCCGGTAGTAGTGGCAGCAGCGAGGGACACAGTGCCACTGGCAGTAGCAGTGGGAGTAGCAGCAGCAGTAGTGGCAACGTTACTGGTAGTGCTGCCCTTGGTGTCCTCGCTCCTCACACAACCATTCTGCGCACCACCTTTGTCCTCTCCTCCCCCTCCTCCTCCTCCTGCTGCTGCTGCTGCTGCTGCTGCTGCTGCTGCTGCTGCTGCTGCTGCTGCTGCTGCTTCAGCCGGTGCTTCCTCCACCGCAGCACCGTCCACCTCTGCGCCTGCCCTGATCTGTACGTCAGCAGCAGTGGGGCTGGCCTCATCCTCGCTCAGCTGCAGCAGGCCCAGCAGCTCCTTCTGCGCCTCCAGCTCCAGTATCCGAACCATCTCCAGATCTACCCCCACTCGCACCGAATGAGCATCAGACATGGAAACAGCCTTCTTCAGAGCCACACGAGACTCTAAGATACCCTCGCTGCCGCCCTCTCCTGTGCCATCCATCACAGCATCGGTATCAGCAGCTGAAGACGTCAGAACGGAACCAGGGGGGGCGGGGATGAAGCTCGGCGCGCTGTGGCGTCGCTGTGTCGCCTCCAGCAGCCTTGCTGCGCTTGCACTGTATTCACTACCACTGCCATCACCCTCCCCCACACTGCCATCGCCTGCCAGTGCTCCCAGCACATCGAGCCGCCCTGCGAAGCTTCTCGGAACTACTCCCTCGGCTCCGCAACTCCCGCACACAATCCGTATACAGCCGCTTTCACTGCCATCAGCGTCGCCGTCGTCGCTCACGTCGCCAGCATCCCCAGTGTCGCTGATGGCTTGCCATCCGCCCGTTGCTGCGTTTCCGCTTGCCTGCCACTGCTGCGGCTGTGGCATTTCCGTTCCTGATGTAAGCTGCTGCTGGAGAGATACAAGATTCTGCTTCTCTTTCTCCACCTCCTCCCACGCCTCTCTTAACCGCTCTCTCTCTTGCCGAATCTCTTCTCCCCATCCGCCCACCTGTTCCCCCTCCAGGACCCCCACCTTTCCGCCTCCCCCCCAATCCTCTTTCCCCCCATCCCCCGGCCCTATCCCCGCCGGTCCCTCTCCGTTCCCCGCAGCCGCCGCCGCGTCGGCCGCCACGTCTGCCGCCGCGTCCACCGCCGCCTCTTGCGCGGCGACGACCTGCTTGAGGCGCGCGACGTTCTGCTCGAGCGCCTGCAGGTCACACTGCGACTCGCGCAGCAGCGCCTGCAGCTGCGCGTTCTCCTCGCGGAGCAGCGCCGCGTCCTCGTCAGCATCCACGTCAGAGTCCATCAGCAGACCCATCCCCGCGCCCACGCGCTTCACCTCCGCCCACACCCCGCTGTCCGCCCGCCCCGCCTCCGCAAGACGGCAGGGGATCTCGGAGCCTGCCGCGAAAAACATCTCCCCGGATGTTGCCGAATGTGGTTTATAGGCCGGGCTGATGCTTTCCTTTGCCACGAAACCGTGCGCGGCGCGGTGAGCGCTGTCCTTCCCCCCTGCGTAACCATCGGGAGTTTCCGCCCACGGGGAAACAGCGCTGCTGCCTCCGCCTGCTTTGCCCCCGGCCCCGGTGCATGCCGTTGCTTGCGCGATGGCGGCAGTTACAGCTCCCCCCCCTGGCGCTGCGAGCGCGCTACCGCCACGAGCGAGCTTGAGCGGGGGAGTCCCACTCCCCTCCAGACTGGAGCGGAGAGAGTTCCCGCTGAAGCTGCGCTGAATCGGGCTTCCGCCTATCCCCCCGACTGCTCCGCTTGCGCCAATCTCTCCGCCCCAACAGGTCCCCGCCTTCACCGCCATCGCCCACGCGCCGCCGGGCGGCTTCCACACCGCCAGCTGCCTCCGCAGCACCGCCGCTTCCGCCACCGCACGGGAAACCACTCCGCGCAGCGTTTCCTGCGCGTCTTCCGCGGCGTGGCGCTGCTCCTCCGCCACCCTGCGCTGCTCCTCCGCAAGCTCCTTCTCCCGCAGCAGCAGCAGCAGGCGCTGGTCAGCGCGGCGCCGCTGACCCTGGAGCGCGTCGTTCTCGGACCGCAGCATGCGCACGTCCTTCTGCAGCGCCAGCAGCCCGGAGCGCAGCCATGCCGCCTCGAGCTTAAGACCGCTTACCTGGCGATGCGCGACTCGGAGGATCTCTGCCACCTCATCCTCGAAGATCGACGCCGCGTCAGCCGCTGCCGATTCGGGTTGAAAGGGCGTGCACGAGGTAAGGAGCGAGGGGTAAAGGGAAGGGGGTGCCACGACGAGTCGATTCTACGATACAAAACGAGAAAGTGGCGTGAGTAACTTGATTCGTGCAATAACTGGAGAAACGTGGAGCAGGTTTGGCAAACGCACGAGCGCACTGAAATCGCAAAGGACTAGTAGCAGAAGAAAGGAAACCGAGAAAAAGCAGAGAATCACCCAAGTCAGGAACGAGCAGAGAGAAGAAAATCCAAGTGACCATTTTTTACAAAACAGGGGGCGCTTTTGCCCTTTTCACAAATTCATTCGCCTGATCTGATGGGAATACCTGTCGGGTAGTGCTCCGCCGTCTCTTCATCCCCAGCAGCATGCAGATCTGAACCTTTTAGACCATCGCCAACGGCTACTTGCTCCTCCTCAATCCCGCCATCTTCATCCAGCTCCCACAAAAGAGAATCTAACGACGCCTTTTTTGCATTACTACCGACGTTCCCTGAACTCACGCCAGGATCCGCGCCTCCGTTATCGCCGATCAATCCACCGCCAGCGCTATCCGCCGGTTGGATTGCGCCAGCAGTGGGCGGAAGCGGAGGGGAGAGGAGAGCGGAGGAGCCAATGGCCAAGAGACCGTCGAGCGCAGACTGCGCGGCGGTATCGTCGGCCGTGAAGAGCTTCTCGATCTCCGCATCGAGCTCGTCTAACTCCTCCTCGAATTGCTCCTCGGTCGGTCCCAGCACACCCCCAAGCGTAGGGGACGCCACACTGGCAGCTTTCGCCGTCATTTCTGAAGGTTATCCATACCCTCGCACTGGAAAATCTGTTGATTGTTTTCGGTCTAACGTGCTAACCAAGCTAAGAAATGTGAAGGGGAATGTTGAATGATGACTGATGAGAGGTGAGGCACAAGCGTGGAGGGAAATGAACATGCGTCCGTACCATACATGCCAGGGCGTGGAACATCCTGGAACAGCATTGTCTGGACGGGCCCGTCGTCCGGACGTTTGTAGGGTAATGGAATTCGTCAATCCTCGTCGGTGTTCTCGTCAACAACGAACAGGGCGTCGAATATTGACGAGGCCTGTAACCCTTTCTAAGTCTGGACTTCTGGCCCATCCGGAAGAAGCCGTTTCAGCATGGGATGGGATGGGCCAGAAGGAGCCGAGCGAGGGGCAGCGGAGTGAAACATCCATTGGGGGAAATCCGAGATGAATGCGGGAATTTGGGGAAAAGCGAGGGCTTGGGGAGGACGGGTGTTCAGAGAAATGCGGGATTTGCTTGACTTGGATTGGTGGTTGGGGCCCTTATTGCCAGCATCACCCCGACCTCGCCGCGCGCTTGGGCAGAGTCAAGAAGTGGGTTCTGCAAGGCAGCCACTCTTGATGCTTTATTCATCTCGATCTTCCATCGATGTACCATCCCTTCAACATCGCACACCTTCCCGTAACGTGTTCATCTTGAAAGTGTTCATCGGCCTTCATTGATTGGATGAAAGTGTAACGAAGGACACGACAAGGGAGGGTGCGTGTGCTGTGGTCATCACATCAATAGCCTTCAACCAAACGTAAGAACTAAAGTTATACAGAATATCGCATTAGGACGTATACAATAGATGCTGTGGTACTATCGGGGGCAGGATTGCAAAGATCTAGATCGTCCAATTGTCGTTTCGAGAGCCCCCGAGCTCCGCTTTTCCTCCTGAACGAAAAGTGCGTCTGAATGAGGCTCAACGAGACTTGGTACAGTCTAATAGCGGTCTAATTAGTAATTAGAATGGTTGGGTAGGGTATCTCGAGAAATTTTACTTTCGGGACAGCCCTTGCAAATTTTACATACTCACTATTGAAGATCCATATACCTTACACGATGATTACGATCAATATGTAACCTTAACCATAAACCTTACACGAGTTACATTCACAGCTTCTAGAAGGGGCTAACCAGCCCACCAGTGCCTGCGCCTTGGAATTACCCCGCATTATCCCTAATCTCTTCCCGTCCCGCCTGCCTCCTCGCAATTCATCAACCCGCTCCGGCCCAACCTGGGGGCATCCCTCCATTTACGCACTGCCACGTCGACTTGCGGGAAATCCATCCTCCGCGCGCACTCTGAAAGTTTTTTTTCACCTTCCGGTGCTGCCAACCTCGTCTGTCACACAGTCGATCAATTGTGCCTTTCTTGAGGGGAGGAGGTTGACTGGTCTTTGCCAGAGTCAAATTTCGTCAGGCATCCCTGCTGGTGCCCATTTCTCCAGCCATGGCGGCCACAGCGATGGCTGGTCTGCATTCGGCCGCCTCGCTCTCTCTCCCGCGCCACCACGGCTTGCGCCCTGTGTCTCGGTCGGGAAGCGCAAAGCTACAGCTACTCGTGCGGCCGTCTTGCCGCACTCTGCGCGGAATCCGGGCCTCCGCCGCGCCTCAGTTCCCGCAGGGAAGCAGCGTGAGTAGACAAACAGAGGAGTCGGCCACCGCAGATATCCCCGGGATCACGCCAGTCTCGGAAGCGTCATGCACGCGGCGATCGGCGCTCCTCGCAGGTTTGGTTGCAACAACATGCGGGGAAGCCGCGGCTCAGCTGCTCGCTTCACCGCTTTCAGCAGCAGCAGCTGAAGCAGCCGTTGCTGCCGATTCCCAATCCGTGGTATTTTCCAAGCAGACGGATTCGATCAATGCGTGCGTTTACGAGTTCCCGTTAAAGATCGCCGATCCCGTCGGTGATATTGTCTGGATCGAAACGCGCAAGCCAGAGCGCTACTCTTCCGCCGCGCCGCTCTCCCCGGATGCGCGCTTGCGCCTCGTGTCGGAGCGTCTGGTGCCAATTCGCTCCCTCGTCATCAGCGTCTCCGTCTCCCCGCCGAATGCGGCGTTCCTCCCGTCGCCGCCGCCGACGACGACGGATCCGGAGGCCGGCAAGGCGTCCGGTTGGACGGCCGTGAACGTCGCTCGATCAGTCCTCGCCGATCGCACGTCGCCGCGCATGACGTCGATCCAACGGCTACAGGAAACGATCCTCGGCGACGTGTACGAGGAGCTCCGCACCGCGGAAGGCGCCTCGGAGCCGATTAAGTACTACCTTTTCGAGTACGTGAACCAGAAGTCGCCGACCATGCTGACCGGCCGCGCGAAGGACGTTTTCCGTCGGTCGTTAGCGGTGGCGGCGGAGCGCGAGGGGTACATTTACTGCCTGACGGTCTCGACGGTGGATTCGGAGTGGCCGCAGCTGGAGGAGGCTTTAAGGACGACCATTGATTCGTTTAGACTGACGGTTCCCACGGGAGAGTACGTGCCGCCGTGGAAGGACCCCTGGTGGTTCTGGTAAATGGGCGCGCGGAGAGAGAGTGGATGGGTGGGAGTGGAGAGAGAGAAGGGTGAGGGTGGAGGGATTGGAGATAGTGGAGAGAGGAGGATACGGGCGAGGCGAGAGTGGAGGGATGGGTAAGAGGGAGAGGAGACTGGCAGACGGATTCGGGGAATTTGCGTGGCTGGAAGCAGTGGTAGAGGAGGGGGGTGGGCGTTTGTGGTGGGGGAGGAGATGCTTGAGGAGTTGGGGGAGGAAGGATGTGGGATGATGGAGATGGAGGAAGGATTTAACAGCAGTGGACAGCAATGGTGATTGGCAAGGTTTGAGGTCTGGATTGAGGGGAAGGGCGAAGGGATGCAGCAGCAGTGGAGCTGGCGAGAGAAGAGAAGATGTTTATGCAACAGATTTGGAAGAGGTGGATGAGAGTGGTTGTGCTAGTAGGATTGGCATGTGTGTGTACTATTTTACCCCCACCGTATTTTTGATTGAACAGGTACTACGGTAGATTGGCCGATTGAAAGCTTTGCTCTGATTACTCCTGACTTACAATAACCTCATGCCGTTGCATTTGGTGCTGGGTTGACTTTTGACCCCACCCTGCCTGGGTACAGGGGTTACAGGGCAGCACAGGGTCCTTTCAAATGTCACCCTGGCAATTGGCTGGGTTGACCAGAATGAACCTGGACTGGAGCACTGATGGTCATTATCATGGAACGAAGTGCTGCACAGCGGCAGCACTTGAATACAGCTGAAATTACGCCTGGGACGAGGCCCTGTACCAATCTACCTAATCACTGTCCTACCAGGTGGAACTACGGTAGTACCGTACTCACTTACTGAACCAGAGCCGCTCCTCCTACTCATCGAGAGATCCCTCGGTCACTGTAGTCACATTGTCAGAAATCTCTCTTGCTGGGCCATCCAGGTCTATCACTGCTTCTTCAACTGGAGCAGATATTCGCGTTGAATGCAGAGAGTGGCCTGAGAGTATCAGCACTGAAGCACGTGTTGCGTTGTGATGAAGCTGGTGTCGAAGCTGGACCTTGCGTCGCCACCACTGCCTCTAGAGCTGGTACTGCTGATGTGTCGGCTCCTGCCACCTCAGCTGCACTTGCCAGTGGCGCTGCTGCTGCTGCGGCTTCTTCTACTGCTATCTGTAGCATTGACGAGGTGTGGCTCAACTCACGAGTCGCCTCTCTGGGTGGGGTAGCAGAAGTGGAGACGGCAACTGTCACAGCACCCTCCGCCTCTGCTGCTCCCCTCACACCTCCAGCCTCCGCTGCGGAAAACTCTGAATCTGATGCTACCTGCCCTGCTAGCTCCTCACTTGCTGACGAGATTGCCCCCAAGAATGCAGTCTCACCGAGTATGCCTGCGCCTGCCATTCCTGCTTCACCTCCTCCCATCCATAGCTCACCTCCTCTCGACGGAAGTGGCATCTGCGAAGCCTCTTCTATGGGCATATGCGTCTTGTCAATATGCCTTTCCGTCTCCTCACCACCAGGTCTTCCTCCTCCTCCTCCTCCTCCTGCTGCTGCTACAGCTCCAGCTGCTCCTTCTGGTGCTGTTACTGCCACTGCTGCATGCGATCGCAGAGAAGACATTGCCATAGTGCCCCCTCCATCGTTCCATGCGCTGTACAACGCTGCGCGTGCTCCGCTTCTTTGCCACTCTATTGCCTCTGCGCCTCCTTCTCCTCCTCTTCCTGGTGATGCTGCTGCTGTTTCCGCTGCTGCTTGTGGTGGCGGCGGTGGTGGTGGTGGTGGTGCTGCTGCTTCAGCTTGTGGCGGCGGTGGTGCTGCTGCTGATTGCAGCGATGCTGCAGCTGCTTGCGGTGCTGGTTGTGGTGCTGCTGCTGGTTGTGAAATCATTGTTTGTCCAGCCATATGCATGCTGTTGTAAATGTCCTGTCGCGAGCTTCTGCCTGTTGCACCCTCCGAAATGTTGCTGGAAACTGTAGAGGCATCAGGAGATTCGAGACTAGCAGCAGCATTGCCGACAGTGGTTCTTTCTATTCTGCCACTTCTGTCCAAGCTTGTTGCCTCTGTTCTTTCAGCTGCTTCTGTTGCTTCTGCTCTTTCTGCTGCTTCTTCTCCATCACTATGCTCCCTCAGAATTCTCCTGGAATACAGGCTGCTGCTTATACTCCCATCACTCCCTGCTGCACCCGTTTCTTCCGCCTCTGCCCCAGCAGCAGCAGCAGCAGCAGGCAGCATTGAGGAACGGCCGGGAGACAAGGATTGGGCAGAGGGCGCTCGAGAATCGGGGCCTTGAGAGTGCAAGGAGCTGGTAGGAGGGACGGGCATGTGGGAGGCCGATGCGGCTGCTGAGGTGCTGGGAGGAGTGGACCGAGGGATGGAAGGTGGGGTATAGACAGAGATGGGAGGGGAGGTGGGGGGGATGGTGGGGGAATTGGTGGAAGGGGTGGTGAGGGGGATGGTGGGAGAGGAACAACCCCCCGTTGTGTCTCTTATGGGAGATGGCGTTCTAGTTTGATGAGGGGAGCGCACATGGGAATAGCGGGAGATGCTGGGGGAGGAGCGGTGAGGAGGAGTGGGAGTGGTTGCTGTAAGGGAAGGGAATTGCTGTGCTGATGCTGATGCCACGTCGCTGCTGCTGCTGCTGCCGCCCCCGCTGCTGCTGCTGCTGCCGCCCCCGCTGCTGCTGCTGCTGCCGCCCCCGTTGCTGCTGCTGCTGCTGCTGCTGCTGCTGCCACTGGTTGAATATGCAAGACTCCCTGTAGACAAAGAGGAAGCAGCAGTGGGAGCAGCAGAAGTGGACACACCCACAAACCTGCCTTCACCACTTATGCTGCTGCCGCTGGTTGACCCCACATACGAAACAGCAGCTGTCACAGGTGCAAGTGGGTTCAGAGTGGTGCTGTGCATTCCCTGGTTGCTGTACGTCCTAGGTGGCGTGCTTTCAGTGGCATGGGTAGCGCGTATGGTATGCAAAGCATGCACGGCGTGTGTGCTGCCTGTGCTGCTGTACATGCTATGTGGATGGTATGTGCTGTGTGATTCGGACCAAGGCGGGGTGTGAGAGGAGAGGAGGGGGCCGGGACGGGGAGGAGAGGAGAGTGAGGATGGTAAAAGGGGTGAGGAGGATAGTGCTGAAGGTGGGAAGGAGGAGGCAGGGAGGGAAGAGGCAGGGAGAAGGAAATGAGGAGCGAAAGTGGAGGAATGTGGGAGGGATTGGGAAGGGAGGGAGACGGAAGAGGAAATAGAAGATGAGATGGAAGAGGATATGAGTGGGAGAGAGGAGGAGAAAGTAGATGAGACAAAAGGGCCGAGCGGTTGACCTGAGGCGAGTAAAGTGGAGATACCATGAAGGGAACGGGAAGAGAGGAAGGGCATGGGGGGAGACGAAGGGGAGGAGAATAGGGATGTGGAAGGGGAGGAGGAAGGGTAAGAAATGGGAGAAGGGGAGGGGGAGAATGCGGAGGGTTGGAGAGATGAGGAGGCGAGATGGTTGGCAGTGCTGGTGTTGGTGGTGGTGGGTTGAAGGCTGGTGGTGGTGAAGCTCCGAGAGTCAACAACAGGAAGGCTGTGTGTTCGAAGAGATATCGGAGGTTGCAGGTCAGACAGCAGGTGGGTGAAGAGCGGTGGTGATGGTGATGGTGACGGTGACAGTGATTGTGGTGGTGATGGTAATGGTGATGGTGCTGAGGGTGTTGGCTCCCAAGCTGGCGATGGCGATGCTGCTGGCTGGTGATGGTTACTGGTGCTGGTAGAGGGTTGAGCCACCACCACATGACGAGCCCTCTCAGAGCGTTGAAACGTCTCATCATGACTGGCACTTGCAGAGCCGGTGGTTCTGGCTACACGGCTTGGAGGCGCGTATGGAGGAGGGGAAGGAGACGAGTAATAGGAGGAGGCGGCGGGTGGAGGGCTGACGTCGGCAGAGAGGGAAAGGAAGGGGATGGTGAGGGAGGAGGAGCGGGGAGTGTGGTTGTGGGAGGACGACGGCTGCATTGGGGATGAGGTTGCGGGAGTGGCGGGCGGAGGGATGCGGGAGGAGATGGTGGAGTAATGGCGTTGCAGTGACAACAAGTGCTGCCATGAACGCATCCCACCCGGCCGCCACAAACCTCCACCTGCCCCTTCCTCCTCTTCCCCTCTCCCTTCCCCTTCTCCTCTCCCTTCCCCTTGCCCTTCCTCTCCCCCTTCCCGTTGCCCTTCCCTTTCAACTTCTCCTTCGCCCCTCTCCCCTGCCTGCCCCCCCGTCGCTCCCTGCCATGTCACTCCCTCCCGGCGAGTGCCCCTCCCACTGGAGGAGCCCGGAGCAGGAAGGTGTAGCGAGGCAGGGCTGTTAGAGGCCTCGCCCACACTACCACCGCTGATGTCGCCAGCACCGGCACCAGAAGAACCAGCACCAGTTGAATTGGCAGCAGCAGCTGCAGCAGCAGAACCATCAGGAGCAGCAGCACCGGTACCAGCAACACCAGCATCAGAACCAGCACCAGAAGTCCCTGCAGTACCAGTAGAAGCAGCAGCAGCCGTAGCAGCCGGAGAAGCAGCAGCAGCGGCAGCAGCAACGCTCTTAAGAGTGAGAGATCCCTGGGACTGCAGCTGTCGGCGCACTAGACGCGCATACATGCCCCCTGTGCTCACCAGCTCCTCATGCCCGCCCTTCTCCACCACCTCCCCCCCCGCCACCACTGCCACTGTGTGCGCCGCCTTCACTGTGGAGAGCCGGTGCGCTATTACTAGTACGGTGCGCCCCTTCATTAGCTCGTCCATGGCTGCCTGGTGGTGGGAGCAGGGAGAGAGGGCACTTACGAGGCGCCTCAAAGGTGTGCTATCACGAGCACTGTGCGGCCTTTCATTAGCTCGTCCATGGCTGCCTGGTGGGGCGGGTAGTGCAGGGAGGGAGGGAGGGAGGGCACTTTTGAGGCGCCTATACATTGGCTATCACAAGGACGATGGGCCCCTTCATTAGCTCGTCCATGGCTGCCTGATGTGAGGTGGGCAGTGCAGGGAGGGAGGGCAGGCAGGGACAGAGGGTTGGAGCAGGTAGGGAGGGTTGGAACAGGGAGGTAGGGACGCAAGGGAGGGAAGGGAGGCAGGGAGGTAAGATGGAGAGAGGGTGGAAGGCAAGGCAGTATGAGGGGGAGCGTGAGGAAACAAATAAAAGGAAGAAGAGACATGGTCAACTCACCTGCACGAGATGCTCGCTGTCAGCATCGCTCTTGGCAGTGCCCTCATCCAGCAGCAACAGCTTTGGATCCAGCAACATAACTTTGAGTCGACTCAGAAGCCCGCTCATCATTACCTGCACGAGGTGCTCGCTGTCAGCATCGCTCTTAGCCGTGCCCTCATCCAGCAGTAGCAGCTGTGGATCCAGCAGCACCGCCCGTGCTATGGCGATGCGCTGCCGCTGCCCTCCTGTCAGCCGCACGCCCCTCTCCCCCACCTCCGTGTCATACCTGGCGCGTTGCATGGAGCCATGGGAAGGAGGGAGGAGGTGGGACGGGTGGGCGAAAGGAAAGAGTAAGGTGTCAGGCCTCTGCACCCATGTGTTGCTTGTTCAGGTGCCTTGACTTGACTTTGATCCCTCTTTCCCCCAGTCTCCTGCCTCTCCCCCCCACCTACCCGTGTGGCAGGGCGCAGATGAAGTGGTGGGCGTTGGCGATGGTGGCGGCGCGTTGGATGGCCGAGAGGGGCACGGGGGTGGTAACGCCGTAGCTGATGTTGGCCGCTACTGAACGGCTCACCAGGAGAGGCTCCTGCCACACCACTGACACCTGGGGGAGAGGGGAGGGGCGGGGGTGAAGGGCGAGTGGAGAGGGGAGAGGAGCACGGGGGTGGGCATACAGTAGCTGATATTGGCTACTACTATCGGCTCACCAGCAGAGGCTCCTGCCATACCACTGACACCTGGGGGAAGGGAGAGGGAGGGCGAGTAGGCGAGGAGGAGAGAGGGAGAGAGTAGGGGAAGATGAAAACGGGGGAGGAGGGGACGGAAAGGGGCACCGGCAATTCACAAGGGATGGCAGGACTTCAATGTGTTGCTGTGAAGCCCTTGTGCACAGACGTTGCAAGATTCACGACACTTCACCAGGGACAAGGTAGACTAGGCAGGGGGGTGCAAGGAGGGGCAGGGAGATGTGCAGGCGGAGAAGGAAGCACCTTGGAGTGGAGGTAGTGGGAGTCGATGTCAGGCAGTGGCACGCCTGCCAGCAGAATGCGGCCTGCACTGGGGTCGTACAGGCGCAGCGCTAGTGACAGCAGCGTGGACTGTATGATGGGGCGAGAGAGGCAAGGGAGCAGAGGGAGGCGAGGGAAGAAGGGGCAGGTGGGAAGAGAGCGGAAGAAAAGGGATAGTCACGTATGTTGGTGCTGCATTCAAGCACTCGGTAACATACATATCCTTATCCCTCCCAAGGAGTCTATTATTCCAGCTTCGATAGAACAAGAGAGTCAACCACCCAGAATTCTGGGTAGGCAGCACATCATACAGCGCATTGTCACTTCTCTGCAATCACATGTTTAGACCACACCCTACTCCTGGAACCACACATACATCCCTTGATTGTGTTGTGTAACTTGAAAATTCTCACAAGCCTGCCTATCCGCCTTCCCACATACCTTGCCCCCTCCACTGGCCCCCACGAGAGCGACTGTATGCCCCCACGGCAACGCGAGTTGGAGACCCTGGGATCATGGCGCCACAGACGCGAGTGCGGGGGAGGGGGAAAGAGGACCGCAGAGAGGACGCACAGTGAGGAGGGAGAAATGCAGAGAGGAGCGAGTGGGGAGGGAGGCTGGGCGGTGACAAACGATATGAGAACGCGGAGGGCTGTGCATCACTGCTCCATGAAAATGTTTTTCTTTTCAATGCACAAAGGCCCAGCACACAACACTGTACAATCGCACTATAACCAGCCAGCCTGCCTGCCTGCCTCCATGCCACAGCTTTCACTCATCCGCCTACCCAGTCCCTCGCCCTCCTCTCCCATCTTCTCCTCACATCGTTCCTCCCATGCTCACCTTGATAACCCAGTGCTCCGGTCGCGATGGGTATGCAAACCACACTCTGTCAAACAGCATGCATGGGCCCTCTCCGCCCCTGGCAGTGAGAGAGAGTGCACACAGTACAGGAGGACGGGGAGTGGGAAAGGAGGAGGAGCTTTTGAGTCGACTCAAACAGCATGCACGGCCCCTCTCCGCCCCTGGCAGTGAGAGGGAGTGCATGCAGGAGGACGGGGAGTGAAAACGGAGGGGGAGCAGGGGGATTGAGGAGGGATGCATGGGGAGACTCACAGGGTTAGGGCAGGGAATGTGGATGGAGCAATAGGGGACAGGAGGAGATGAAGTGATGGACGATGGCAGCATGGTTGCATGGCATGGTGGCATGGTGGCATGGTGGCATCATGGCCTGGCGGCATGCAGGCATGAGCGCATGGGGACATACATGGGAGGGCATCGGTTGCCATGGGGTGGCATGCGCGGGTGCATGTTGAGCATGTGCAACACCCTCTCCGCTGCACCCATCGCCCTCACCATCGTGCCGTATATGCCACTTAGGTTTGCCACAGACATGCCCACTGCAGCCATGGTGGGTGCGGTGGGAGAGTGGAGAAAGGATGGGTGGAGGGGTTGGGGGGACAGGAAGAGGGGAGCAGGCATGAAGGGAGGAGGTAAGTCTGTGGAGAGGAGGAAGATTGGAGAGGTAGGGGAGAAGGAAGGGGGTCAGGAAGTGGTAGAGAACAAAAGATCAACCAAGCTCGGCTTGGGAAGGCAAAGCATGGCATGGCATGGCATGGCATGGTGCGGCACAGTGTAGCGAGGCATGACGTGGCATGGCGTAGCATGGGGAGGCACGGTACCGGTGACAGCAACGAGTATGAAGCATGCGAGGTCCCCTGTGTCCATGGCTCCCGCGGCTGACAGGTATGCTCCATACGCGAACACCACCACCACTGCCAGCCCTGCACCCGCATAAACTGCTCCTGATAGCAGCCCCACTCGGAACTGATGTCAGTGGTCGTGGCGGGGGGGGGGGGGGTTGTGAAAAGGGGGAAAGTGGGAGGAGGATGGAAGAGGAGGAGGAGGAGGAGGAGGAGGAGGAGGAGGAGGAGGAGGAGGAGGAGGAGGAGGAGGAGGAGGAGGAGGAGGAGGAAGAAGGGCGGGGGAGGAGGGGGTTAAAGGAAGAATGCCGAAAAAATATGGAAATATGTGGCAAATTAAATTGGACCACACAGAAGCTGACAGGTGTGCACTGAGCACTGATCCAGAGGGAGCTAGGAAGTACCACTTGTGTTCAAGTACAGTGGTGAGCGCGAGGGGTGAGGGCGAGGGGTGAGGGGGACGGCTGGAGGCACAAGGTGTGGATGAGTGAATAAAATAGGAAGGTGGGTGGGGATGGTGGTACCGCGAGTGTGACGCCCATGTGCATGCAGTGTCTGGTGAGCAGTGCAAAGCGGTTGTGCTCCCACTCCTGTGAGAAACACCGCACCATGCGAATGCCCTGCAGCACTTCCTGGGGTGGGATATGGGATGGAGTAGTATTGTGGTATGGTGATGTGGAGGAGAAGCATTTCGAGCAACGTGCACGCATGCATGCACAGAAGCTACACCGCGCTGCACCGCACGCTCATACACTGCCCCGCACGCTCATAAACTGCACCGCATGCTCATACACTGCACCGCACACTCATCCGCTGCACCGCCCGCTCATCCGCTGCACCGCCCGCTCATACGCTGCACCGCCCACTCATACGCTGCACCGCACGCTCATACTCTGCACCGCCCGCTCATACGCTGCACCGCCCGCTAATGCGCTGCACCGCCCGCTCATGACCTGCACCAAGGCGCGCGCGCGGACCAGGGCGCGCGCGTGGACCAAAACGCGCGCGCGTGGACCAAGGCGCGTCCGTGGACCAAGGTGCAGGCGCGCCCGTGGACCAAGGCGCGCGCGTGGACCAAGGCGCGCGCGTGGACCAAGGCGCGCGCGTGGACCAAGGCGCAAGCGCGCGCGTGGACCAAGGCGCAGGCGCGCGCGTGGACGCAGGCGCGCGCGTGGACCAAGGCGCGCGCGTGGACCAAGGCGCGCGCGTGGACCAAGGCGCGCGCGTGGACCAAGGCGCGCGCGTGGACCAAGGCGTGCGCGTGGACCAAGGCGCGCGTGGACCAAGGCGCGCGCGTGGACCAAGGCGCGCGCGTGGACCAAGGCGCGCGCGTGGACCAAGGCGCGCGCGTGGACCAAGGCGCGCGCGTGGACCAAGGCGCGCGCGTGGACCAAGGCGCGCGCGTGGACCAAGGCGCGCGCGAGGACCAAGGCGCGCGCGTGGACCAAGGTGCGCGCGTGGACCAAGGCGCGCGCGTGGACCAAGGCGCGCGCGTGGACCAAGGAGCGCGCGTGGACCAAGGCGCGCCAGTGGACCAAGGCGCGCCAGTGGACCAAGGCACGCCCGTGGACCAAGGCGCGCGCGTGGACCAAGGCGCGCCCGTGGACCAAGGCGCGCGCGTGGACCAAGGCGCGCGCGTGGACCAAGGCGCGCGCGTGGACCAAGGCGCGCGCGTGGACCAAGGCGCGCGCGAGGACCAAGGCGCGCGCGAGGACCAAGGCGCGCGCGTGGACCAAGGCGCGCGCGTGGACCAAGGCGCGCGCGTGGACCAAGGCGCGCGCGTGGACCAAGGCGCGCGCGTGGATCAAACGTGCGCGCGTGGACCAACGCGCGCGCCTGGACCAGCGCGCGCGCCTGGACCAGCGCGCGCGCCTGGACCAGCGCGCGCGCCTGGACCAGCGCGCGCGCCTGGACCAAACGCGCGCGCTTGGACCAAACGCGCGCGCCTGGACCAAACGCGCGCGCCTGGACCAACCGCGCGCGCCTGGACCACCGCGCGCGCCTGGACCAACGCGCGCGCCTGGTCCAACGCGCGCGCCTGGACCAACGCGCGCGCCTGGACCAAACGCGCGCCTGGACCAAACGCGCGCGCCTGGACTAAACGCGCGCGCCTGGACCAAACGCGCGCGCCTGGACCAAGCGCGCGCGCCTGGACCAGCGCGCGCGCCTGGACCAAACGCGCGCGCCTGGACCAAACCTAAGTTGGAATATACGCGTGCAGCGTATATTCGCGTATCGTATATACGCTACCGTATATACGCTATCCGCTTAGGGGTTCGGTTTGGAGATGCGCTTTTCCGGGCAGAGAAAAAACTTTCCGGGCAGGGTGAAATAAAAGTACTCCCTATTCTCACTAAGGCTTGCCCTTGCATAATCCTGAATCCGAATGACGAGTGCAATGGGAGGTGGAGTAGACAAATAGCTAGAAAGCGAAGTAGCGTGAACTCTGGTGAAAGCGGGAACGAAATGACGAGTTAGGGTTAGGCAACAGGGCTGGCTGGTAAGTACCGTGAGTTTTGTTGGGGGGTTAATTTTGACAGGTTGGAGTTTGTAGATAAAGTGGGGTTCAATGCGGTAGAAGGGATGGATTTCAATGCCTAGATGGGATCTGAAATTCAACATTTGCCTGACGACTTCGAAGTCAGATCCCCGTTTGCCTAGACCGCGGATTTGAATTTCGACTACGCCGAAATGCTCACCTAGAAAATCCGCATCTTTTTTGCGATTATTTTTTCGGGCAGCCCTAAAAATAGTCTAAGAGCGTATAGCGTATTCGCTAGCGTATAGCGGATAGCGTATGTACGCTAGCGTACTTACGCTGTACGCTTAAGGTGTTAAGCGTATATTCCAACTTAGGACCAAACGCGCGACCAAACGCGCGCGCCTGGACCAAACGCGCGCGCCTGGACCAACGCGCGCGCCTGGACCAAACGCGCGCGCCTGGACCAAACGCGCGCGCCTGGACCAACCGCGCGCGCCTGGACCAACCGCGCGCGCCTAGATCAACGCGCGCGCCTGGACCAACGCGCGCGCCTGGACCAAACGCGCGCGCCTGGACCAAGCGCGCGTCTGGACCAACGCGTGCGCCAGGACCAATGCGCGCGCCTGGACCAAACGCGCGCGCCTGGACCAACCGCGCGCGCCTGGACCAACCGCGCGCGCCTGGACCAACGCGCGCGCCTGGACCAACGCGCGCGCCTGGACCAACGCGCGCGTCTGGACCAAACGCGCGCGCTTGGACCAAACGCGCGCGCCTGGACCAAACGCGCGCGCCTGGACCAACGCGCGCGCCTGGACCAAACGCGCGCGCCTGGACCAACGCGCGCGCCTGGACCAAACGCGCGCGCCTGGACCAACCGCGCGCGCCTGGACCAACGCGCGCGCCTGGACCAAACGCGCGCGCCTGGACCAAGCGCGCGCCTGGACCAGCGCGCGCGCCAGAACCAACGCGCGCGCCAGAACCAACGCGCGCGCCTGGACCAACGCGCGCGCCTGGACCAACCGCGCGCGCCTGGACCAACCGCGCGCGCCTGGACCAACCGCGCGCGCCTGGACCAACGCGCGCGCCTGGACCAACGCGCGCGCCTGGACCAACGCGCGCGCCTGGACCAACGCGCGCGCCTGGACCAAACGCGCGCGCCTGGACCAAACGCGCGACCAAACGCGCGCGCCTGGACCAAACGCGCGCGCCTGGACCAACGCGCGCGCCTGGACCAACGCGCGCGCCTGGATCAAACGCGCGCGCCTGGACCAACGCGCGCGCCTGGACCAACGCGCGCGCCTGGATCAAACGCGCGCGCCTGGACCAACGCGCGCGTCTGGACCAACACGAGCGCCTGGACCAACGCGCGCACCTGGACCAACGCGCGCGCCTGGACCAACGAGCGCGCCTGAACCAGCGCGCGCGCCTGGACCAAAGGCGCGCGCCTGGACCAGGGCGCGCGCCTGGACCAAACGCGCGCGCCTGGACCAGCGCGCGCGCCAGGACCAGCGCGCGCGCCTGGACCAAACGCGCGCGCCTGGACCAAACGCGCGCGCCTGGAACAAGCGCGCGCGCCTGGACCAACGCGCGCGCCTAGACCAAGCGCGCACGCCTGGACCAAACGCGCGCGCCTGGACCAACGCGCGCGTCTAGACCAAGCGCGCGCGTCTGGACCAACGCGCGCGCCAGGACCGGCGCGCGCGCGCCTGGACCAACGCGCGCGCCTGGACCAACCGCGCGCGCCTGGACCAAACGCGCGCGCCTGGACCAACGCGCGCGCCTGGACCAACGCGCGCGCCTGGACCAACGCGCGCGCCTGGACCAACGCGCGCGCCTGGACCAAACGCGCGCGCCTGGACCAAACGCGCGCGCCTGGACCAAACGCGAGCGCCTGGACCAACGCGCGCGCCTGGACCAACGCGCGCGCCTGGACCAAACGCGCGACCAAACGCGCGCGCCTGGACCAAACGCGCGCGCCTGGACCAACGCGCGCGCCTGGACCAACGCGCGCGCCTGGACTAAACGCGCGCGCCTGGACCAACGCGCGCGCCTGGACCAACGCGCGCGCCTGGACCAACCGCGCGCGCCTGGACCAACGCGCGCGCCTGGACCAACGCGCGCGCCTGGACCAAAGGCGCGCGCCTGGACCAGGGCGCGCGCCTGGACCAAACGCGCGCGCCTGGACCAACGCGCGCGCCTAGACCAAGCGCGCCCGCCTGGACCAAACGCGCGCGCCTAGACCAACGCGCGCGCCTGGACCAACGCGCGCGCCTGGACCAAACGCGCGCGCCTGGACCAAACGCGCGCGCCTGGACCAAACGCGCGCGCCTGGACCAAACGCGCGCGCCTGGACCAAACGCGCGCGCCTGGACCAACGCGCGCGCCTGGACCAACGCGTGCGCCTGGACCAAAGCGCGCGCCTGGACCAACGCGCGCGCCTGGACCAAACGCGCGCGCCTGGACCAACGCGCGCGCCTGGACCAACGCGCGCGCCTGGACCGGCGCGCGCGCGCCTAGACCAACACGCGCGCCTGGACCAACGCGCGCGCCTGAACCAAACGCGCGCGCCTGGACCAAACGCGCGCGCCTGGACCAACGCGCGCGCCTGGACCAAAGCGCGCGCCTGGACCAACGCGCGCGCCAGGACCAACGCGCGCGCCTGGACCAAACGCGCGCGCCTGGACCAACGCGCGCGCCTCGACCAACGCGCGCGCCTGGACCAACGCGCGCGCCAGGACCAACGCGCGCGCCAGGACCAACGCGCGCGCCTGGACCAAACGCGCGACCAAACGCGCGCGCCTGGACCAAACGCGGGCGCCTGGACCAACGCGCGCGCCTGGACCAACGCGCGCGCCTGGACTAAACGCGCGCGCCTGGACCAACGCGCGCGCCTGGACCAACGCGCGCGCCTGGACCAACCGCGCGCTCCTGGACCAACCGCGCGCGCCTGGACCAACGCGCGCGCCAGGACCAACGCGCGCGCCAGGACCAAGCGCGCGCGCCTGGACCAACGCGCGCGCCTGGACCAAACGCGAGCGCCTGGACCAAACGTGCGACCAAACGCGCGCGCCCGGACCAAACGCGCGCGCCTGGACCAGCGCGCGCGCCTGGACCAAGCGCGCGCGCCTGGACCAACGCGCGCGCCTGGAC